ATCAGGAATTGAATTTTCAATCGCCACAAGATAAATCATTAAATCTCGACACTATTTTCGCAACTATAAAATAAATCTAATTTCTGACATCTCAAAATCACAGATATACGTCTACAAAATCCAAATTCCAACAATCGCAAATCCAATTTTCAATCGCCACAAGATAAATCATTTACTCTCGACACTATTTTCGCAACTATAAAATAAATCCAATTCCCGACACGAAAAAATCACATATGTACATTCGTCAAACCCAAATTCCAACAATCACGAATCGAATTTTCAATCGCCACAAGATAAATCGTTAAATCTCGACACTATTTTCGCAGCTATAAAATAAATCCAATTTCCGACACAGATGTACATTCATCAACCCCGAATTCCAGCGATCGAAGCAAACTCGATTTTTAATTATCCCGGGGCACAGGGAGCCCGAGCCTTATCGCTGAGTCCGCGATCCCGTAGCGGCTAGAATTATAAATTTGTCAGCGTAATGGATAGCCGTCGGCGATATTCCCGATCAGAAAAATCAGTCATCCGCCTTTCTTCCGAACGGTCCGCTGGATACCCGAACACGATCGGGCCGCGATGCTCGACGAAGCGTACGAATCCGTTTCGCTCGAATCAATCACCGGACGGAACATCGATACGCGGGTAATCGCCGGATTAAAGGATAACCAAGGATAATTACTCGCCGGCCCGATCCGGACGCAATCAATTCTCGATGCGTTATAGTTCGCATTGCCGCACAGGGTCCGCGCGCCTTCCTGCCCCGCGGATCTCCCACATCCGTCTTCCCGCCGGACAATTTTTTCGTTCATCTTCCGTGCGATAGCTCGAACTAAATTCCCCGCGTTTCCTCTCCGTATCGATTCACTTCGCGACTAAACCTGTTTCTGATGCAGTTAAAAATCCATCAGTTACGGCGGATCGAAGCGTTCCCCCTTAAACGATCGCTATCGTCGCTTCTATCGTGCGTCGACGAACAACGGGAAGAACGAACGACGCGGTAACGAGGAGAAACGGGAACGCGTATTAAGTTCACCGAAAGTTCTATCCATTTTTCAGAGAAAAATAATGAAGTATGAATAAGTTCATTAGTATTTATCGAACGATATCGTTTCCATCGTTATCATCCCCTTGCCGTGCAACGAGTGAGACTCGCGATGAAGATTTCTAGATTAACCCTCTATGGGCCGAACTTTGTTTCGTGATTATAACAAAATTGATGCAGTATGAGATTAATAAATATCAGTATATGGACACAAATTAACAATGTACTCGATAGTTTCAACAATTTTATTGAAACGAATATATTTTGTGACTTTAAAATTACAATGACGTTGAACGTAAACGCCTGTGTGTACAAAAGTTTGAGTTGGTTAATTATTTAATGTCGTTTGTCAGTTTGCAATAAGAAATTAAGTACGTCAATTTAACTCGGTATGTTGATGTGTGACTTCAAAGTCACACGAGCCTACAGAGGGTTAATTTAACAAGAATCGATGTTATTACCCACGGATCAAAGCAAACAACTATTTTGCTATTATCATTGTATTATCTTCAAATTTCCACTTAAAGTAGAATGGACAATTTTGTTGCATTTATTCCAAACTGATAGTAAAATGGTACATGATCATACTGGTGAAAGTAAATAGTACGCCAAGGGGTTAATCATCTCTCCAGCGTGATGGTAATTTGTGGATTACATTTCCGTAGAATCACTCGTCTTCAGGAATTTAAGACGATGTCGGACAGAACTCTCCGGTAGACCAACTAATTTCATTAAAACTGAAAGAGTTAATTTTTCCGAGTCTTATAAAATATATACATACTACTCTATAGTATGATTATTAGATTAAAAGCTTTCTTGGTCCTCCTTTAATATAATATTTGCTTCCGGACAGTCGAATAAGTTTAATTCGTTAATGAATTTCATTAATTTCGCGAGCTTCGCGGAGGAACGGTGTTTACACTCGACGGAAAAGATCAGTTTCATTAAAACGTTGAAATACATTTTTGTAGAATGAAATCGTCATTTCGTAGAGATTTTCCTTTGGAAGAGGTTCACTTTTGAGATATGAACAGTTGGACAGACAGTTTTAATCGACGAACGCGACGGAAAATTAGCCCGGCCGTGTTTTGCTTTGCGGAGGAACAGTGTTTACACTCGACGGAAAAGATCAGTTTTATTAAAACGTTGAAATTCATTTTTGTAGAATGATATCGTCGTTTCGTAGAGATTTTCCTTCGGGAGAGGTTCACTTTTGAGGCATGAACAGTCGGACAGACAGTTTTAATCGACGAACGCGACGGAAAAGATCAGTTTCATTAAACCGTTGAAATTCATTTGTGTAGAATGAAATCGTCATTTCGTAGAGATTTTCCTTCGGGAGAGGTTCACTTTTGAGGCATGAACAGTCGGACAGACAGTTTTAATCGACGAACGCGACGGAAAATTAGCGCGGCCATGTTTTCCGCGATGGCGAGCGGCGCGCGCTGTCCGCGAGGAATTTACAGCCGCTAAAGCAGCGCATATTTACCGGCCAGGCCGGAATAATGCTGACCACGGTTCTGTTCCTGTTCACGCGTAGAAGCTCGCGCGTCCATCAAGCGGCATGAATTACAGGGGCCGGTCCGTGGAAAAATATGTATTCGTTTCGCCCGCTGGAAACGCCGGATCTCGGTTACCTTTGCGTCTTTTGCCTTTAGGATTACCCAACGAGCTCGCGGTTCCATTTAACGCGAGTGTTTTGTCGGTGATTCCATCAACGTATCTTCTGACGCTCAGCCGGGAACTTGGGGTATCAAAAGCTTCACGATGAACAGTTTGGTTGTCCATGGAAGAGCTGATTTTGAAGGGTCAGTGAGTGAAATTAGATGGAGAGTAGTTGTTTATAAAGGCACGGAGATTTTAAATGTGGTGTAGGGGAATTGGGAATTGTATAGATGTGTGGGAATTGGAAATTGTACAGGAAAAACGTGGGAGTTAGGAATTGTATAGAAAATGTGTAGAAATTCAGAATTGTATACAAAATGTGTAGCAATTAGGAATTGTATAGAAAATGCGTGGGAATTGGAAATTGCATAGAAAAAACGTGGGAATTAGGAATTGAATAGAAAGCGTGGGAATTGGAAATTGTATAGGAAGAACGTGGGAATTAGGAATTGAATAGAAAGCATGGGAATTAGCAATTGTATAGAAAAAGTGTAGAAATTAAGAACTGCATAGGAAATGTGTAGCAATTCGGAATTGCATAGAAAGCGTGGAAATTAGGAATCGTATAGAAAAAGTATAGAAATTGGGAGTTGCATAAAAAATGTGTAACAATTAGGAATTGCATAGAAAAAGTGTAGAAATTCAGAATTGCATAGAAAATGCGTAGCAATTAGGAATTGCATAGAAAACTTGTAGAACACAGAAATGCCACACAAACTATATAGAAATTATAATATACTGATCTATAGAAATTTGAAATAAATTTCACAGAAGTACGCAAATTGTTCTACAGTAATCGCATAGGAAGGTCCAAGTACAAAAGTTTGTTAATTTCGAAAATGAAACACTCGCACGAGATAAAAGCGTTTAGAAGAATTTAAATGTCGACATTTCAGCTGGAATTTACTCGAACGGCGCGCAAGGGTTAAATTACGCGTGACTTCTGGTTGCCGGGTAGGCCGGTGCCTCGTAAATTTTTCTGGTTCCGGTCTGAGAGAAGTTCCGCGCGCGGAATCGATCGCGGCTCGCGCAATATCGCGGAACATCGCGTCTTCTCCGCGGTCCAAGACTTATCGCGGCGAAAGTTTAATTTAATTTCGTCCTGGGGTCCCCTCATTTCCTGTCCCGCTCGTATCTCCGCGTATTATTTCTCGCGCCGCCGGATTCCGAACTTTAATCGCGCGGCAAGTGGCAAGTTCCCGCTGGATTTCGATATCCAGCCCTCGTTCTCGACCAATTTTCGGGGGAACGCGAATAAATGATTAAAAACTAGATCGTGGATCTTTTTACACTCACCGATCAATATAAAACGCATCAATTAACATTCCACAGTTCAATTCGCAGAATGCACAGGAACACCTGTTCTACACGAAGGAAATATTTGCGTTTTATTTCGATCGTAGGAAACCTTTTAATCGATAAAAGAGTTTCTTGTTTACTTTAATGGTTATAATGTAATTTACACTAATTGGAATTAGCACGGGGATATTCATTGTATCGAACATTTCCGTGAAATCCAGTTACCGGATAAGACAGACACAGCGTGGACGCATCTTTCCGAAGACTCCGGGGTCGCGTTCTAATTAGAAGCTACTTTGACTCCGCGGGATATGAATGAATGCATGAGATTCATCGGGAAGATACTCCACGGAGGAAGGAAACCGTCGCTGAAGTCCCAAGGATGAGAGAACGGTTTCTATAGTTGATGGGACGCGTTATATGGAAACAGAATTTCGCGAGTATTCATGATATCGAATTGACGGTCTCGCTTGGAATTCTTTCTCCCGCCAGCCTTTTAGCATTTCCTCGATTATTGTCCGTTTCGAGTCAGTGATATTAAACATACATACTATAAAAGTGTTGAAACTTTTATAAGAATTATAGGAATGACAGACCGAAGATTCGATCATCGATTAAAATTCTCCAACACTGAAAAGGTTTTATTCTAATTATTCCAAAGCTAGCTAATTTCATTTAATTCGAACATTTCGTACACTCGAAGTTATTTAATGCACTGAATAAAAATAATATAATCAATGGATAGAGCTACTTTATTCGAATATTTATTAAATCAAATATAATTATATTAAATCTATATAGCTATATTAGAGCTAAATTAAATCAAACGGCGACAGAGTTATCTCTAGAGTTCAAGGGGTCGAATCAGAAACAATATTCCAGTGGATCAGAGTAGAAAGGAGAAGTCTCAGATTAATTTCAGTCGAACGATAGACGAATGTCGAAAGAAGTTCTCTCTAGTAATATAAATCGAGCCACTCACCGTCGTGATCGTCCGTTTGGTTTTTCTTGTGATGCGTCTTGTGATGATGGCCGCCGGGGACAGTAATCTGCTTCATCGCGAGTAGATCCTTGTGATTCGCGTCGATCAGCGGGTTCTCCACCTGCGACTCGATCACCTCGAAGCTCGTCGAGTTGTCCGGATGAGAGATGACCTTCACTGTAAACGAGCAAGCGTAACGGAGCATGGAGGAAAGAATTGCCGCGCCTAATCGCCGACTCTCGTCGCTTCTGTCCGCGGGAAGTCGGCGAAGAGGCGCGGGAAAAGATCTACGTGGATCTTCGAACTGACTTTGCAACCGTTGCGGAACAGTCTTGAAGAACTCAAGCAATCGCGACGAAATAGGTCATCCTTATTAACCTCCATTAACTAAGCTCAAAAAACTCCAAACAAATCATTACTCTTCAAAATCACTCCGATAGCTTAAGAAACTTAGATTCTTCAATTAGAAGACAAAATTGCAACTACCTTTGAATTCACTTTCAAATGAGCTCTCAAGACATTAACCCTTTGCACTCGAGAGGTGACTCACCACTTGATTAGTACAGTGAAACTATAAAATTTGATATTTATTAAATTTCCCATAACGCATCATTTTGAGAAATACTCAAACGAAACAGCTTTGTTCCTCAATGTACGATTTCTCGTCGAGTTTCACAAAATATCGATTTCAAATATTTCTAGTGAAAAACTTCCGAGTGCAAAGGGTTAAATAATTATCAAATTCAAATTGTCAAGAGTAGAATCAAGACTTTCCAATAGAAAGTTCAAATTCTAGAATCTTCCATCATTGCTTGAGATTCTCCAAGAGCGTCACCGTGATCGGCAAGATCGTTCGAAGGCGTCGAAACGACGGAAGACCGCCTGAAACGTTAACAACTGCGCCGCGTTCTGAATCGCGGACCCGCGAAAGCGCGTGTCACCGGGAAACGATAACTGGTAATTAACCGCTTAACTTTCCGTCGCCGGTTCTTGTTTCGCGGCGTCGAAACCGCCGAACTGCCCCGCCGCCCTCCCAGGGGTTGATTCGGAGTTCCGAGTTCTCGTCGATCAACAGTTGAGCGCCGCTAATCGTCCCCGCCCCGAAACCGCCGCGCCGCTACGCACGGGCAAGTCGCCGATAAAAAAGTTCCTCCGACGGTGGGAGTAACGAACGGCCACGGAAACTTTGTTTAGGGGCAACTTGCCACTCGTCCGGGCTCCAGATTGGCGCGCGCGGCGTTCGGAACGGCAAGTCGTCAGTGGCGAGCGGAGCATCCAGTTGCCGGCGTAATAATTTATCCCGAAATTCGGCGGCGATTCGGCCGCCGAAGGTCCGGACGCGATGATTGATTCACGACTCGATAAGCTCGTAACGAGGGTTGCTTCAGTGGAACACAGTTGCTTGAAAACCTCGATGAATGTTTCATGGGGGTTTTACTTTTTGCAACTCGAGATCTGTACTAATGTTTCGGGTCGAACAGTGACTGGGATCTACGGCGTGAAGTTGGTAACAGCAGTCTATTCCATAATGGAATACGAATTTCTGGATCGCGGTTCATTAATATCATGAGCTTGCAGTTTATTCTGCGAGAGATTGATTTAGAGAAAAAGTTGCGGCGATGTCTCGAGATTGTTTCATGGAAATGGCAAAGGTATTGAAACACTTTGTTTCTCTAATTATAATGAAAACTACCGATTTGTGAGGTATTTCTCGTATGTAGAGTCTTCGAGACTCACAAGATTTTGCGTTCGTCGAATGATCCAAAATTACCATCAAACTCATTAGTACCAAGTCTACTCCCACACCGAACGTTACCGTAACTTTCAAGATGCGTTCGCCAAACAATCATCAGCGAAGGTACCGCGAAGCTCGGCTTGGCCCGAAGAATTTCAATCCGAGCGAAAGTTCCAACGAGAATTCCACGATCCGCGAAGAACGAAAGCCGCCGTGACGACTTGCGATTCCCGGGTCCGTAAACGTGAGCGGTATGGCCGCGGCCAGCGATCGATGGTGTCTGTGCGCACCTTGACACCGATGTACGAACCTTGGTCGACGAACCCTTCGAAGGCCTCGCGGAGATCGAAGAGCCGGTCGACTGGCACCGCGCCGATCCTGAATTCGAGGTCATCGAGGTCGTCGTCGGCGCGATCGAAGATCGCCCGGTGCTCGTAGGTGGGCCTTGGTGCGAATTTCTTCCGGTGCACGAGGCCAGGCCTCTCGATTCGCCTCGCCTCGTCCACGGTAGGCGTTGGACGGGCCGGCAGATAACTCGGCGGCGACGACGACGACGACGATGACAACGACGACGAAGACGAAGACGACGACGACGAAGACGACGTCGCGACGGACGGTGGTGCGGGTGGTGCAGGGTGGTTGTGCTGGTGGTGGTGGTGCTGGTGATGGTGATGATGGTGCAGGTGCGCGTCATGCTCGCTTTGGGAGTGCCTTGGCTGCAGGTGCACTGTGCTGGAGGCACGATCATGCTTGGACAACGTGGAAGAAGAAGAAGATGAAGAAGAAGAGGAAGAAGAAGAAGAAGAAGAAGAAGAGAAAGAAGAAGAAGAAGAAGAAGAGGAAGATGAGCCGCGATCATAGAAGCTCCCAGGTCCCTCCATCGACCGATCATCATCCGTATCTTTCTCCCTGTACGCAGTCCGGTGCTCGTTATCGGTACCGGGACGAGCCTCATGCCGGTTCTCGTAATCGGCACGAGGATCGTATTCATCGACCACGAGGACACCGGGCCTGCCAGGCAACTCCGGTGCTTCCTGATGCCGGCCGTGCTGATGACGATGCCCGTGCTGACGCCTCTGCCCCGGCTCCTGGACGTCGTACGTGCTCTCGTGGTCGTAGTACGAGGTGCGCGCGGCCCCGGGGAACAGATAATAGGGGTACATACTGGTCGGCGGTAACCAGAGCTCCTGGTAGCTCTCCTGCTGCGGGTCGAACGGATACAGGGCCGAGTCCGTGCCCGACAGGTCTACGGAGGTGGAGGAGGGCAGGAACTCTGTAACAGAGAAGCAGAGACGCGGACGAGAA